TATTTGATTGTGTTTGTAGTGTTGGAGGGAATATAAGTGTTTAAATTTTACAGTGTGTCTCATTCATCCCAGTCACAGATGCTATCCTTCCACGGGTCACGGACAATTCATTTTGTTCAGTAGATTTAAGTGTTCTTGTGCTGGTTCGGAATTTTTCTGAAAGGGGCGCTTCCACTGCCATTACCATCTTATAATCTTTAATAAACCCCAAGTCAAGTGAGAAATTAAAGTCCAGTAAATTCCAACCGGTTACATATATATATATATATATATATATATATATATATATATATATATATATATATATATATATATATATATATAAATATATATATATATATATATATATATATATAAATATATATATATATATATATATATATAAATATATATATATATATATATATATATATATATATATATAAATATATATCTATATATATATATATATATATAAGTATATATATATATATATATATATATATATATATATATATATATATATATATATATATATATATATATATATATATTTCATGTAAATCCACAATGAAAACGTGGATTGATAAATCTTGATAAAATCACACGGGAAAATGGAAACAACGGAGCACCTTAGCTTTCGTCTTTATTCAAGACATCTTCAGAGGCAACTGGATTACATGGACAGAGAGAGGCTTAAATATACAGGGTGACCTTAAAAACATGAGGTCAGGTCATAATGATGTCATCCACTAATCCCCACACCAACACACACGTAGAGGAGCTTAAGAGAAGGGGGGTGACGTGACTAGTCAGGTCAGGTCAAAAATAAGGGACCCACAAAATAACTATCATACATCTAGATCAAAGGTTTTCAAAGCATTTTTAACCTTGGGCCACTGACAAATAAATTTATGTAACATATTATCAGTTTTGAACTGACCATCACTAAGGTTTATTGATTTTAATTCCTTAATCAAACTAGCTTCAACCAGGAGTCTTTCTGTGACACAAGATGATTTAAATACTTCTAAGCTTTTTTCCCAAGCAATGGGATGATTATTATTCCTAACATGAACGAACAAGGCACTGCTTTCAGATGCTGTTCTGATATTGTACTTATGTTGTTTGATTCTGAGCTGCAGTGTTTTTCCTGTCTGTCCTACATAATTACAATTACATATGCTACATGGAATACAATAAGCACTTCCATTTACATTCAAACTTGGGCTATTCCTTATTAACATATTGGTAATGGTTGAGTCATACTTGAAAACAACATTAATATTTAGAAGCTTGAGGGACCGAACTAACGGGACAAATTCATTACGATAGGGCAGAATCAAACAACATAAGTACAATATCAGAACAGCATCTGAAAGCAGTGCCTTGTTCGTTCATGTTAGGAATAATAATCATCCCATTGCTAGGGAAAAAGCTTAGAAGATTTAAATCATCTTGTGTCACAGAAAGACTTTTGGTTGAAGCTAGTTTGATTAAGGAATCAAATCAATAAACCTTACTGATGGTCAGTTCAAAACTTATAATATGTTACATAAATTTATTTGTCAGTGGCCCAAGGTTAAAAATGCTTTGAAAACCTTTGATCTAGATGTATGATAGTTATTTAGTGGGTCCCTTATTTTTGACCTGACCTGACTAGTCACGTCACTCCCTTCTCTTAAGCTCCTCTATGTGTGTGTTGGTGTGGGGATTAGTGGATGACATCATTATGACCTGACCTCATGTTATATAAGATCACCCTGTATATTTAAGCTTCTCTCTGTCCATGTAATCCAGTTGCCTCTGAGGATGTCTTGAATAAAGACGAAAGCTAAGGTGCCCCAAAACAGGAAGTCAACAAGCCTCCAGAAGAGGTTTTAACACCAAGCGACTGGAGGATCAAGCAATAACATATGCTTTCAGAGAGCAGCTCGAGGATGGGCTGATAAGCAACCCATCGACAAACAACTCAAATCCCAGTGCCGAATGGGGTATCCTCGACAATGTCATGACAGAAACCTGCAGAGACATTACACCAGATCAAAAGAATACACTAGGATTGGTTTCATGAAAATGGCCCGGAAATCAACGTACTCAACGATTGTAAACGTACTGCTTCAACTGACTGGCATAACAACCCTCAGTCTAGTACCAAAGCTGATACCTCCCACGAGAAGAAAGCGGCGGCCCAGTGCGAACTTCGCAATCTAAAGAATAAATGGTGGAATAATAAAGCATGTGAAATGCAAAATCTTCCAGATGAACACAAGATGTGCGAATTTTTCAAATCCTCAAAAATATTGTGTGGCCCAATTACTCATGGTTAAAAATAACGAAGGCATCCATCAATGCTGGAAAGCAGATGAAAAATAACAAAACCACAGGGCCTGATGGAATCCCAGCCGAAATGTATAAAGATGAAGGACCTCTGCATCCCAGCTGTCTTCAATCTCTCTAGGAGAATATATGAGAGGAGGAGGAAAACTCCCACTTCTTAAAAGATGCCTCCATCTTCAATGTGTATAAAAATAGGGGAGACCGGTCAGACTGTGGCAATTACCATGGGATCTTGCTGCTGTCCTCAGTTGACAAGATTATAGCCCGAGTCCTTCTAAACAGACTTCATCCTGAGGCGTAAAACGTCCTTTCAGAATCTCAATGTGGCTTTAGACCATCATATGGCACCACTGACAAGATCTGTGCTGCCCATATGGTTCAAGAAAAGTGAATAGAACACCGTCGTGAGTTGTACACTCGAAAAAAACTTCTCGAACACCTGGGCCCGATGGATATGAGAATGAACAGAATAGGACTTGTCATCGCAGAATGGTGCTTATAGCGTTCGGAAAGTTTTTGGTGAGAGTGTACATGGCCTTACTAAGGCCTTCGACTAGGTCAACAGGAAAGCCCTCTGGCGGACGCCTCAGTCGTTTTATTTGCCCACCAAAATTCATCGCCAATGTGTGGCAACTCCACGATGGGATGAACGGCCCTATCCTGCACAATAGCACATAGTCTGAGTTTTTCCCCATCCAAACGGGCATAAAACAAGGGTGTGTACTAGCACCAACTCTCTTTTCCATTTTCTTTACTACCTTCCTTAATTATGCCGGTGCCAATTTAGCCGGCAGACTGGACATCCAGTACCGGATGATTGGTCTTTTCAACATAAGACGACTCCAGGCCGGAACAGAGGTGTCGGCCGCTTCCATTACTGAACTTCAGTATGTAGATGACTTCACCTTCGTCGTTCACACTGAACGTCACCTACAGGAGATCCTGTAAACCTACACAGATGCGTATGCACACTTCGGCTTTGAGGTGAATGTACGTAAGACTCAGATTCTCTCTCAGTCTGCCTCTGGTTCAACCACACCTCCATCATCCATCCAGGTTAACAGTTGTACCCTCTCTCATGTTGCCCACTTTCAATGCCTTGGCTCCCTCCGGTCCACCACTGCGTACATCAATGAAGAGATTCAGCATCGGATCAGATATGCATCTCAAGCCTTTGGCAGACTCCGTACCCATGTCTTCAGCTGTAAGGAGCTGAGATTACAGTATCTACAAAGTTATAAGTGTATCGAGCAGTGGTCCTCCCCACCCTGCTGTAGGGTAGCGAGACATTGGTCACATACAAGAGGTACCTCAAGGCACTTGAAAACTTTCACCAACGTTCCATCCTTCGAGTTCGCTGGGAAGACAAGAGAACAAATGTCAATATTCTCACTAACGCCAACTGTAGGAGCATCGAGGCTACCATTATCCATGAACAACTACTACATTACCTGCATGTACGACAGCACACTGCCAAAACAGCTACCTGACAGTCACCTAACGCATGGTAAATGTAACGCTGGCAGGCAACGGAAAACGTCTAAGGATAATATTACGACAAACCAGAAAAGGTGCCAATCGAGCCCCTCACCTGGGAAACGATCACTCCACACCGTAATGCTTGGAGGCTCACTGCACGAGGTGTCAATACTTTCGAGTTAGCCCTACTGCATACCCAGGCAGTTGTGTGCCAGCGCCGGAATGACGCTGCCGCCAGCACTAGATGTATCCCTCCACACGCCCAACGTCTGTGGATGGTCAGTTCAGAGGTCACCAACGAAGATGATATCCTTAATAACTCATATCATTGTATCACAGCTGGTTGATCGTCAAACTCGATGCCGAATGATAGAAAGTAGTAGTAGTAATTAATTTGACATCAGAATTTTTGATCCTATGGTCGCATATCACCGTAACTTAGCTCTCGATGCTGCACACAGGAGGATCGAGAACGATAAGATATGGGGATACGGGGAGAGAATTCAGAACGTTGATCGAAGTTGCTTCACTCCTCTAGTGTTTACAACCTCTGGTGGGATGGGACCAAGTGCAAGATGCTTCTACACCAGACTCGCGGAAGTGATATCCGAAGAGAAGCAGCAGCCCAAAAGTTATATTACAGCCTGGATGAGATGTCGACTGGCCTTCTCTCTCCTTTGGTCGGTTTTGATCTTCCTCAGGGGAACGAGAGCATCGGCCCCAAAGCCGACAACAGTTGCAGGTATTGACTCTGAGGCTACAGTCACTGAATGCCGCATAGATCTGCGGCTCAATTAGCTCATCACAGCTAGGATAGCTACTTATGTATCAGGATATTTAATATTAAGGTAATAAAATGGTGGTGAAGGAATGGCTATTGGGGGAGGCTGTAGGCCATTATTAAAAAAAAAAGAAGTAATTATGCAAGTTAGTAGATAGATAGTTTACCTGTATGCAGGTTAGTAGATAGATAGTTATGCATGTTAGTAGATATATAGTTATGCAGGTTAGTAGATATAAAGTTATACAGGTTAGTAGATAAAATAGTGATGCAGGTTAGTTGATAGATAATTATGAAGGTAGGTATAAAAGTTATTCGGGTATATAGATAGACACTTATATAAGTATTCCTTTTGTATTATTAACTAGGGTAAAAAATGTGTAGGTGAAAAACTAAATTTTTTTTTATCTCCACCTTGCAGTTTAAATTAAAGAAGAGACAGATAGAAGAAACAGGAAAGCAAAAATAACTTGGAACAAAAAACAAGAAAGTGGGAGATAAGAAGCGCCATCAATAACACAAGGAACAAGAGGGAGATTGTAAGAAGAAGAGGACAATGTCAATACCAGCCAGAGCTCTCCTCAGAATAGCTGCCGAGGAGGTACAGTACAGTACTTGCTTAACTTAATACAGTTTAATAAGAAAATATATCTCAAGTTCAATGTACCTATTCAATTGTTTCTTTTACTTTGACAACATAACATACATACAATATATAATTTCTCGCTCTTGATATTTTTTCTTCATTTTTATATTTATTTATGGCTCTATTATTATTATTATTAGTAGTAGTAGTAGTAGTAATAGTATGTATATATTTTATTATTATTATCATTTATTTATTTTATTATAATTTTTATTTATTTTATTTATTTTATTAATTTTATTATTATTATTATTAGTATTATTATTATTATCATCATCATAATTATTATTAATATTTTATAATATTTTCGCCCCCTCCCCCAGGCCTTGATGTGGGTCATTAAAAATTGCTTGTGCCCTGGGGGGATGGGGTAAAGGGGTTTGGTTAGACAATGTTAAGCTAGGCGAGGATTAGGTTATGTTACGGTAGGATACAGTAAGGTAACCTCGGTTAGGTTAGCGTCAGGGCGTTAGGTGGGTTAATATTCAGGTGAATTAGGCTGGGGTGTCTATTCTTCAGGTGGTCCGAAAGACTAATATTTTGCTCAGACACACACACACACACTACTCCTACTACTACTACTACTACTACGTGGCCTCCAGCCTCCCCCAATAGCCACACCTTCGCCACCATTTAATTTCATTAATATTAAATATCCTAATACATAAGTAGCTATCCTATCTGTGTTAAATTAGTTGAGCCGCAGATCTATGCGGCATTCAGTGACAGTAGCCTCATAGTCAATATCTGCAGCAGTTGTCGGAGTTGGGGCAGAAGCTCTCGTTCCTCTGAGGCAGAGGAAAGCCGACCAGAGGAGAGAGAAAGACAGTCGACATCTCATCCAGGCTGTAACATAACTTCTGGGCTGCTGCTTCTGTTCGGAGATCAACTCCGCGAGTCTGGCGTAGAAACATCTTGCACGTGGTCCCATCCCTCCAGAGGTTGTGAACACAAGAGGAGTGAAGCTGCCTTGATCAACGTTTTGGATTCTCTCTCCATATGCCCTTATCTTGTCGTTCTCATTCCACCTATGTGCAGCATCGAGAGCTAGGTTACGGTGGCATGCGGCCATGGGATCAAAAATCCTGATGACGAAGAAAGCTCGATGTCCTCGCGTCCAGAATCCTCGAGCACTGACGTCAACACGGGCTTCGTTAGATGTGTTTGAAGTCCTATGTTGGAAGAGCTCACCATCCAATGGAAGGAGGGTCGGTTCTACCATGACATCCCCGGCAGATTTCCTTCAGCATATTTGCTGTAAGGTCCCTTACTTCGTCATGCCTCATGCATATGAAGCCCCCTTTCTTGCACACCATGGCGTGATCGCCGTCATAGGAAGAGCCACACACGCATTGGGAGGGCAAACCTTCAACTGGCCGACCATACCTTAGAGCAATGGCATCTGTAAATTCTTGTTTGTTAAGACTGAAACCATTTGCCCCTATCGGTAACATAGTTAACCAGTTCGAGGAGCCCACCCCCTGCGCTATAGCTACTTTTTTTTCAAATTTTCTGGTACCTGCAGCAACAGTTGCTGCAACTTATCAGTTTGGCAGTGCTGTCGATCTGTCGTAATGGACCTACGAATCTCGTTTACCTCACTGGTCTCGACCTCTCCTGTTGCGTTCTGGGCTATTATGTGGTCCGTGAGGGCTGTCGTGAGCTTAAGTGAATTTTGATGTTCGGTGGCTGCAATCTCCTCTGGATTGGTTAGTCCCATCCCTCCCAGTCTTGATGGAAGTTCAAGAAGTGCTCTTTCTGCTGGGGTTAAGTGAGTGTGTTTCACTAATTTGGGAATGAACTTGACACTGATAGCTTCTTCCAGAAGGTGGAGGAGGAGTCCGATATCAGGGATAGTACGCATCAGGTAGTTCCAACGATGCTTGACTCCATGGGTGAATGCAGCAAAAGCCGCATGTGGCTCTGTGTTAGCAATCTCAGACAGAGCTTGGATTTCACTAACCCACTCATTCACCTTTCCCGCTACGTCCTCGGTCTTGAAGTCCGTAGTGCCAATTACTGCGCCTAGATGTCTTTGGCCTTCCTTAGTTATTTTGACCTCTCTTCCGCCAAAAACATCCTTTGGCCGTTCATAATGTTCTGGCTTCACGATGAGGAAGGACTTGCTGGCGTTTGGGTGGTACCCTATTTGTGGACCTCGCGATGTTACCAAGTCCCACCCTTTTTGATGCCTTCCACTTTTCCTGCTCCTGTAAGGTCGTCAGCATACGCCACTTGTTTGACCCCAGTTGTTTCAAATTTTATTTCTTGTTGGAGCACTGATAGACCTATTGCATACATAGCCATTGCAACAGGGTCCCCCTGTATTGTTCCCTCGGTTGACTGTAAGATGGTATCACCTCGTAGGGCCTTGTTGTTTACTATATAAAGGTCTGATGGATTCCTATAGGAGTTTTCAACGTACATTGCAAAGCTTGGACACTTGATCTTGATGTTGTGCAGTGCGGCCTTGCGGTTAAGTATGTTGAATGCATTTGAAGCGTCGACCAGGAGAACGGCCTCACAATCACGTTGCTCAAATATCGTTCTCATGGCGTGAATGGCAGCTTCCCCTCCAGCTTGTTGGCCAGCACAAACTTGCAGGTTCCCTGCTGCTGCCCTGACATCGTCCTTTACCACCTCCATTATGCATTTTCCGATGATTCGCCTCAGCACTTCCCCCATTCCTATTGGCCTACATCCTGGATTCTTATCCAGGGGAATGAGGCGGCAGGCCGTCAGAGCATGAAGGTGATGGCAGCATGAGGATGCCAGCTTTCTTGCAAGGACGGCAATGGCCGTGCAGAGATCACTTGCTGCGGGGCCAAACTTGTTAGTGCTGAGGATGACTCTCCATCCGTTTGCATCCAGACCTGAAGGGCCGGCACCTCCCTGAGTCTTCAGTGCCTTTTTCCAAACCATCCCTCCTGTTATTTTCTCGAACAGGACAGCATTTGGTGGGATATAGGCACCCTGAAACCTGATGCCTTCATCTTCACTTGCAGGGAGATGTTTTTCTTTCAGTTGTTTTAATGTCTCTCTGTTTATTGGCAGGACCCCACCGGTGGATTCCTCTGTGAGAGATCTTACCACCAAAGACACTCAAAGACACTTTTCCCACACGCATTTTGTTTCCAAACTTTCTTGCAGCATCATCGGTGTTTTGCTTTCCGTCTCCTGTAGATTTTAGTCTCTCCTGCAGTGTTCTTGCTTCACATAGGAGATTATCAAGGGCCCCCTTCTGCCACAGTGTCAGTCTTCTCTTCATTGCTGCCGCATTTTCTTTGTGCTTAGTCTTTGTGTGTGTCCTCTGACAGAATAGATGTGGTATTATTGTCAGTATATGAAGAGCTAATGGGGCAAGGAGGCGGTCTTGAGTGTACTCAGTTATGAGACTAATCATCTCCCGAATCATTTCTTTGGTGGCCGCACACTTAGGTGGTTCAAACAGGTTTGCTGGCGACCACCTGACAATTTCTGAGTATGTTTTTTTAACCCATATGTCTGCATTTCCATCGACATGCCATTCCACTGTGGTGGCTGTCTCTCATTCACCTCGTGGACATCAGCTACTATTGGAGCAGCGTTTATTGGTACTACATTTTCAGGTTGAGTAGACTCACTGCTATCGTTTAGGATATCAGCGGGCTGCTCGGTCCCGGCGATATCCAGTGTGGCCTCCTGTGACAGCTCCCTGCCATGAAGGTTATAAGGGTTGAGGCAATTGTTTCCCTTTATGCAAGACACACATGGTCGGTTGTTTCTCACACAAACACAGCTAGTGCATTTTTGGTACTGGTTAGAACAGACACAACAATGTCTGTCACCCGGCATAATGATCTGCACCTTGGGCGGCAGTTACGTCCGCCTCCGAACATATGATTTGGTCCCAGGCACAAGATAATACTGGTTCTTATGAGGGAAGGGCGGAGAGGTGACAAGCTGGACTGCTGTGTCCAGGTAGTAAGGGCATACGTGCGCGCGTGGGTGTGTTGGCTACCCCCCCGGCATTCATTTTACCTAAGTTACAAGAAACTGTGATACGAAACATTTTTGTCATTGGTAATGCGATGATATGAAAATTAAACACTACTCTCTCTCTCTCTCTCTCTCAGTGGGTGCCGTGGACCAAAATTGATGTCCAGGAGAATGGTACAGTCGGCATTCTAGGTCCCATGGCTCACTTGCTGGATATATTCGCTGATAAACTGAACTTTGAGTAAGTAGGAAAATACGTGTCTAAAACTCAGTAAAAACTATGTGTGTCTATATTATTTATATCAGTTATTAGTGTCCCTGACGTAGTATACAAGGGAGTACCACATCTCACAGTTAAGTGGTGAATTTGACCTAATGTAACCTAACCTAATAACCTAACCTAACCTAACCTAACCTAGCCTATCCTTACTAAACCCTACTAAACCTAATGTAACCTAACATAACATAACGTAACGTAATCTCGCATAAGTTTCTCTAACCTAACCTAACAGCATAACATAACTTATTTTATTAAACCTCACAACCTATCCTAAGCTAAATTACCCTAATCTACCTGCCCTAACCTAACCTAACTTACCTAACTTAACCTAACCTACTTAACCTAACCTAACATAACTTACCCTAACCTTACCTAAATGATCTAAATTAACCTAACCCAACCTAAGTTAACCTATCATAACCTACCCTGACCCAAGTAAAGATAATATGGTTTATCTTCAGGTGAAAAAAGTTGGGCTACCTAATCTTTGGGTGATCCTCTTATTTTCTTACGTGCAGTTATGAGTTGGTGCGTCCATCAGACCGTGTGTGGGGAGGACCCCAATCTGACGGCTCCTGGACAGGCATGCTGGGGATGTTACAGAGGCAGGTAAGACAGAAACATACTGACAAAAAAGAAGAATGTAAGCGTTTGAATCCCTCCTCTGAGCTTAGTTCAAGCAACAAGATCCATTCAGGTGGACGTACCTATGATAGTTACAATATACGCAGGTAGAAATAATTAATAGTGGCAGGTGGGAGGGTCAATAGCCAGGTAACTTCCGACAGGTAGATCGTAAAAGTTGATTTCCTTCTGTTCTTTTGTTTATTAATAAATAACCTCCATAAAGCACGATAGATTTTCTGTTTTTGTTTTTTACAGTGATGAAGCATTAGTCAATTACAGCGTACAAAGACTATTGTATTTTCATAATTATTAAATTGAGTTCAAGAATGGTCTAACTTTATGTTTGTATTAAATATATAGGATAGATTTTAATATAGATAGATATATGGATAATAAATAAATAACCAGATTATTTAAATGACAAAAATTATCATATACATACATACATACATAATGGTTGCCCCTCGTGTAACGAGGAAGGCCTGCCCTAGGGCAACACAACAACCACACCCTGAGTTAACAAGCTGCATGACCCAGTGTCAAGGAATAGTCCGTGAAGACTGGGCAACTAGCCAACTGCAGTGGCTATCCATTACCCTGGAACACGATCCGCAAATCGATTAACATCCAGGTCCCTAATTATTGCTGGGATCGAACACGGGTCCGTTCGCTTGCGAGGCGAGCATGCTGACCATTACACCATAGGTCGTGTAATACATACATACATACATACATACATACATACATACATACATACATACAGGTAGTAGGTACAAGGCAGCTACCAAACAGGGAGGTACTACCGCCTGGGAAGATATTGGAAGCATAATAATGTATTGTCTAATGGTAGACCCTGCTGCCATATGGCATCACGAAAATTGTGACTAAGTCCCAGGTTGCTGATCTGACTTTCTGCCTCATTTACACACAATTGCAGGGTCTCAGGTGTTTCTCTTACTTGGACAACACAATATACATAATGTATATCGTTTTTCACCCTTGATCTATTTTTCGTTTTTGTATTTATTTCTGGTTATTATTATTATTATTATTATTATTATTATTATTATTATTATTATTATTATTATTATTATTATTATTATTATTATTATTTTTATTATTATTATTATTATTATTATTATCATTATTATTATTTATATTATTTTAGCTTTATTTGTATTAATTTGCTGTCAATTTTATTAATTGTTGTAGTGATAATAATTAATAGATATCATTATTATTATTATTATTATTATTATTTTTATTTTTATTATTATTATTATTATTATTACTATTATTATTTTTATTATTATTATTATTAGATTGCCCCGAGGTGGCTAGTTTATTGGGCACCCCCTTACATCCTGTGCAAGGTGAAACGCAGAAGTGTTTACAGTGCCCAACTGGGAAGCATGCTAAGTTGATGCTTGCCTTTATGACTCTTGCATTAAGGGCGTAGAAGCCTGAAAGGTCATAGGTTTTGTCAGCAAGTTACATAAAGTGACAGAATGATGAGTGTGTGGTGGGGAAAATTCCCGGTACATTTCATTTGTTTATAGCAAAGCGTGGCAGGTCCGTAATAATGTCAAGTGCCAGGCCTGTGACTAGGAGGAGGGATATCTGATCAGGGAGGGAAGAGGTATTGGTAACGGCTGGGGACCTGTAGGAGGAGGTCTTAGGACAAGTGAGGATTTTTTTTATTAGGCAACCCCCTACATCCTTGTATAAGGTGAAGCGCAGAAGCGATTACAGCGCCCAACAGGGAAGCATGCTAAGTTCATTCTTGTCTTTTTTTGTCTCATGAGCTAAGGGTGTAGAAGCCTGAAGAGACAAGGGCGTAGAAGCCTGAAGAGTCAATGGTTTATGTCATGAAGTTATTGGAAGCTCCAACAACTTCCTGAATACGAATTCGCAACCTTCGACTTTACCTACTTTACTGCTAGGTGAACAAGGACTCATGGGAGCTAGGAAGTATGTCCAAACAATTCCACCGGCTCGGGAATCAAACCCGTGACATCTTGCTTGCGAGGCAAGAGCGGTACCGCTTCTACCACTGGCCCCCCATGACAAGTGAGGATGTAATGGCGGAGGGCGTGGGAGTCGGGTTGGCCACAAAGTTTACAAACAGTGCGGACAGGTTCAAGGTTGCCAATGTACTCCCATAGGTACCTGTACCCTAGACGCAGTCTCATGTACACAATCTGTTGAGAACGAGTCAGTGATTGATACTCTTTGTAGTGGTGGTTGGTGTCATAGGTTACAGCGTCATAGTGCCGTAGTGTGACGCTACCCCGTTGTTTCAGGTGTATCCATTTTTCGTCGAATGCTTCTCGTTGTGTGGCGTGTAAGCAAGATTTGAGATGAATCAGGGAGAGCGCGAGGGTGGCTTCAATATCTTCTTCTTGTGTCGCTTCTTTTGCAAGCCGATCAACAGTGTCACAGGCAGTTATTCCTATGTGTGACGGGATCCAAATAAACTTGACACGGATGTCATCAGTCTGTTCTAGCCCGGCGATGGCGGCTAGGGTGTGCTGGGAGGCAGGGGAGAAGGGGGAGGGTAATTTGAGCCTCGCTAGCGCAGAAGTGCTATCACTGATTATAAGAAGGTTCCGGCGTTCAGTGCGAGCATAGGTCGCCCCCTCATGAATGCCCGCGAGGATGGCTATGCTTTCAGTGTCAGTGGAGGAGGCCCAGTCGTGGACCCTGATTTTCCTGCGGGCCTGGCGCTCAGGAATCCAAACAGCTGCCCCAGCGCAGACCAGCGTGGTGACAGACCCATCACAGTAGACGAGGATAGGAAGGTGGGAAGTCGTAAGAGAAGAGGCGACATCATCAATCTGCTCAAGGCACTTAAGTTTGAGCATATACCGCAGTTGGGTGGATTTACGACCAGGAAAAGTGTGGACGACAACATCAACACTCGGGGAAGTCCACGGCGGTAGAGGCGGATGAGTGTACTCGGGAGGGAGAGGTGTCGAGGGGGTGTAGAGGTGATAACGGAGGATGTCAGCAGCAGTGAGGACGGGCCAGTGTTGAGAGAGGGAGGGAGAGGTAATGGGGGCAGGCCGACGCAGGAGGGAGTTAAGAGTTCAGTGAGCGGGACAGGGGAGTCGGTTTCTCACTACGAAGACGTTTAACACCAAGGATGGCATTGAGAGCAGTAATTCGATCGCAAACAGGAAGTAGGATTAGTTCACGCTGCATGACTTCTATTCTGGTGGTCATAGGGCAGCCGAGGATGAGTCTTATAGCTCTGTTTTGGATTTTCTCTATGCTTTGTTTCTCGCGCTGGAAGACAACTACAAGGACGGGAGAGCCATAATCTATGACAGCTCTGACGATAGCAATGTACATGAGACGTAGGACCCTGACAGAGGCTCCTTTGAGGCCGTGGGTAAGGGACTGGAGGGGCCTCGTTCGTTGGCGGCACTGGGAGATGAAGTGGGCGGCGACAGCGGAGGTGGTGGCGCTGGTAGTGGCTCGCACGGGTAGACCAAGGTACATGCAGGTGCGCACTTGATCTATGTCTTGTCCTTGCAGAGTCAGCGGTGTCTGACGCAGGAATTGTGAGATGAACTTGGTTTTAGTGAGTGAGATGACTAGCCCGAGTGTTTGACAGGTCCGGGCGAACGTAGAGAGTATAGGTTGTTCATGGTGCACTGTAGAAATTTCGAGGAGAATATTATCAGCGTAGCTTATGATGTGACCGTCTAGGGCGCGCTCAGCAATGATGTCGTTGAGGCGGCAGATGGAGTTCATTAGTACATTAAAGAGTGTAGGGCTGAGTACACCTCCCTGAGGTGGGCGAAGATCAAGGTTCCTGATCGTAGAGTAGTGGCCCAGAAACCGGACACTGGCCTGTCGACGGGAGAGGTAGTCAGCAATCCACGTGAGGAGTTTGCCCTTCACATCAATGTGCGTGAGGCCCTCAAGGATCACTTCACGATTGGCTTTATCAAAAGCATCCTTGAAGTCGACAAAGAGGGAGGTTTTGGCTGAGGTGTTTGCAATGTAGTGAGCGATGCAGTGAGCAGTACTCTTTCCGGGGCGGAAACCATAGAAGTCAGGATGCAGGTGGGCTTCAATTTTCCAGTGGAGGCGGTGGCGTATCACGCTCTTCATCATCTTTGAGAAGCAGGAGATGAGGGAGATTGGACGATATTCATCTTGTCTGTCGGTTTAGGGTCTGGGATGGTGGTGGCAGTCTTCCATAAGTGAGGCAGCTGTCCAGTATCATAAGAGAGGTTAAATAGACAAAGGAGGGAGTTACCAGGGGAGGCAATAAGGGCATTTATCGCACCATATCTGACGCCATCATCGCCAGGGGCGATGGACCGGCCGCGCTTAACAGCATTTAGTAGTTCACACTGTGTGAAAGGCACGTCAGTGTCTGCAGATAGGTCTTGGTATTCGGAGATGCTCTGTCGGCGTTCTGGTTGCAGTGCGAGGGTGAGGTCCCGTACAGCGGGTGGCAGTGCATCAATGGAGGCGGCGTCCTGCCACGTATGGAAGAGCGCCTCATCTCGGGCAGCTGGTCTGGGGTGGAGCGCTGGTCTGGCGTTGGTGCCCCGGGCACAGTTAATGGTGCGCCATATAACACCTATAGATGTAGACTGGTCAATGGAAGAAGCAAAATCAAACCACTGCTTCTCTCGTGCGAGAGTGATGGTAGATTGGAGCTCTTTATTTGTACGCATCAGGAAGCGTAGAGCGTCAGAGGAGCTGGGAGATTTCTTCCACTGGTCGACTGCTAGTCGGTGCCATACTCGGATAGACTTAACATGAGGGTCACGGTTAACATTCCAATGACTCCTGGGCTGGCGGTTAATGCGTCTGTGTTTTGGGGCAGGGCAGAGGAGGGTAGTGCATTGTTTGGACAGATCAAGGTAGATTTGGTCTGTGGTGGTGGCAGTGTAACCCTGAAACCATTCAGCAATGGTAGCGATGAAGGCAGGTATGTTGGCAGGCGGTAGCCTGAGCCTAGGGCCCTTGGGTGGGAGGGGGGGGGCATTTTCACGTACTGGAGGGTAGTGTGGATAGGGAAATGGTCACTATGGGGAGAGTGGAGGATGCGGGTGGAGTGGGCGGTGAGGTCAAGTAGGGGAGCGATGTAATCAAGTTTCCCTCCCCGATGTGGTGGGTGATGGAGGCAGAGAAGACGTACAGGGTCATCAGTGGTTTGTAGGTAGGCAGGAATTACCACGGGAATTTGGTGGGGCCTCTGGGGAGCCAGATTGTGTTGTCGGGTATTGAGGGTCCCTGACAAAGAGGTGGGGTGGAGGTGAATATGGTGTGGTAGGACAGGTACAGAGTGGAAGGCACATAGACATTGACAATATCATAGGACATAACCTTTTAGTGTGACTGTGATGGCGTGTGCGTCGATGACTATCGTCATCAAGGGACGTCGGAAGTGGTCGACTAGGGACATCGCTTCTTGACGTAGAAGCCGCAGTCCACGTGCGTAACTAAGTAGTAGTCATCGATGCGGAAGGGCACCAGGGTGGATAGATATATAACACATGTGCGCTTCCTGAGCACACCGCCAAATTTTCAGCAACACACCGCACGTTTCTTGGAGCAAAAAGCACGTCGATATGCTCTTCTGAAGGTGTAGGCATAGGTTTGGGAACTTTTGACTTTGTTTTACAGGCCGTTTGCTGTTCAGAGCGTTACGTCCTGTAGCGTTGATATCCGGCGGGTGGCGGGCGCTGATTGCCACCACAGGCTGGCCGGTTGGATACAGATGTTCCCTTGACGTGGACGGATGAACGCAGGTGCCGGCATGTCGGTGCTGGAGCATGGGTAGCCGGGGGTGAGTCCTCAGGTCAGTAGGGAGCCCTGGTGGGGCTGGGAGCAGGCGTGGCAGAGATGGGTGAACGGGTTGGGCACCACGTGACGTGAGGATGAGAGCAGGGCTTGCTCAGGGCAGCTTGGGACGCACAGGCCGTGAGCAGGGGGAGCTCACAGGGGGCTACCAGCTTGTGTCAAACCAGAGGTGAGTGACAGGGTGGCAGCAGAGGCAAGTTGGCAGTGTAGGTTGGAGGTGGCGGTACAGAAAGAGATTCTCAACATGTTTGTGGTATTCTCCGGAAGGACATGATCTGTGTCATGTCACTGGAAGAGAGTTCTGAGGCTGAGTGGGGGTTGTAGGGGGCACTGGTGGGAGCACGAGAGCCCGACAGAGTCAGGATAGGAACAGGGACATTAGCTCAGTTGTAGTTGGGATTGGGAACAGTAGGTGCTGTTGTTGTGTAGATTTTACAGCCTGGTGGCTTAAACAGGAAAGGAATGTCCCAGTGGACTGGGCGTTCATGGTGAATACGGCCCTCGGGAGGCCTCTCCTGGGATGAACGAACAGGGGCACTGACGTGAGTCAACATGCTGGCTGCCACAATTACAGCACCTGGGATCAACTACGTAGCCCACACCACCCTTATTGATGTGGTGCTGTTTTCTGTGTAAGCCTGGCTTGGCGGTGTTGTGGTTACGTGAACGGCATCTGGGACAATCATCGACGCTTGAGCGGTGGTTGGCGACCCCAATGAGCAGAGACACAATATAGGCTCAGGGTGATATAGAATTATGCATGAAAATTGGTCGAGGAAGGGATTGGACGAGCTTCCACCCAGTGGTTTAGGCCTCCTTTCCCACTTGACAATAACAAGAGGCTTGTAGTTTTCTCTCGGCCAATCGCGACGTATACTCAGTATATTGGGATTAAGAGTCACGCGCATCTTCAATGTCTTGTATAGGAAAATTTCACTCGGATGTGGCACCATTCATCAGCGTCTACTGGGGGCACCAGTACTAAGGGTTTCATAGACTTCAGGAGTCTGACACTTGATAAAGTTCCGGTTCTTACCTTGTCGGAATTGAATGCTGGGACCGTGCGCTTTGCAGTACTTCATCATCCAATTAAACCGGTCCTCGACTGATTTCAATGGGTCTTTGGGAAAGTGTAGATTCAGCTTACTTGGTTGGTTGGCGAAGGGCAGGGTGTTAGGGTCCGTGGCCTTGGTGTTTCCACCCTGGAAAGTGTTTCCACATTGGTTAGTGTTTCCCATAGAAACATTACAGTCACTGTCACAATCACTGGGGTCTGACTCTTGATGGGTGTTGGACTCAGTATGATCAGGCGAGTTGGCGATGGCATTATTGAGAGAGGAGCCACCTCTTCTGAGGCGCTTATGTCGACTCCCCATGCTGGCAAAAACTTGCCGGCTGAGGGGAGTCGGGTCTGAGGAGGGGACCTTCGACGATCGGGAAGTGAAGAGCATCTATGGGCACGTCTGTCCTCTAATATGGTCACACCACAACTGCGCCTCCCAGGCCCTGATGTGGGTCAGTGACCTTTGCCCGGGTGGGCTAATCCCAGTAAAAAATAAAAAATAAAAAAAAATAAAAAAAACATACATACATACGAACATACATACATACAATTTCCCCCAACACGTTTTTAAACACACGAGATGCATTACATAACTCGCCAGCACCTGCTAGATTCATTCATGTATTCCGGTATTCATCAGGAGGTAGAATTCGCCATCGGACCCTTTGGTGTGACAGCATTGAGGGAGACGGTGTGTGACTTCTCTGATCCCGTGTACAGTGAGAATAACGCCATCCTTATGGTCAGACCCACCCTGCAGAATGACTTTACGGGCTTCGTTAAACCTTTTACTATAAAGGTAAGGGTTTCTGTAATTTAGGTTTATGATATTTATTTCATGTAATTGTAATAAATTCAATGCGAAATTGTGTATTTCACTTATGTTCTAGTTATTAATATTGACACTGACAGGAAAAATTTGCAGTAATATCAAAACAAACGATAATTTATTTTGTGGTATAGGTCAGGACTATTGATTCCCTTATGGTTAAGTTATCCATGTGTTATAGACATGGGTGTGGACGCTGGTGAGCCTGGTGACGGTGGTGGTGATGATGGCGCTAGTGGTAAAGGCGGAGGCCAGGGTGTTCACCTCTCAAACTCGCCATGTACTCTCTAAGGCTGCAATGTGGGGAGTAAAGACCCTCACCCAGGAGAGTAAGTGTCGCATCTGTCTGTTTATCCGTCTGCCTCTCTCTGTCTTGTTAAATTTACTCTTACGTCTATTGAGTTTACGACTAAAATAACTATTTACCATGAAACGTTTTCACTGTCTGGCCAATCTTAGCAAAGGGTGAAACAAAACCAAGGAGTACAATAACTTGTTATAATCAAATTAAACAATCTATATTGCACTCTAGAAACAATAATGACAATAACTAGATAGCAGGTTTGTTCAGTTTGAAAATTTACCCATGACACTACATAATACTTATAAGCCTGCAATTAAATCAGTTACAACATATAACATTTAACGTAATGGAGCAGGAACATTATAAGTGAAGACAGTTCACACAGTACAACAATGTGCAGTACTCATTACTATGGAGATGAAGGAGATGAGACCCACAGCCGGCGGTAACCATACTGTCCACTATGTGACTGACTTTTGTCTTTTGCCGGGTTGTGAACCCAACACCAAATCTCAAATGATTGAGTCGAAGCATTAACTAAATCTTCAACTCATAAAATATGGTCAATAAGATAGCTCAGTGTGGCGACAATTGGCAGTCCCATCACATTTTTGTCCTTAGCCACTACATGGCAACATCTACCAGAAAACATTATGGAAGGCTGGTTTATCACAGAAGACATGTTTTTAATAAATAGATAACAGTAGGAAAAGTGAACATCATACACAAAAGATACAATAGTAAAATTACATGATTCCCCAAAACAAAATAAAAATAACAGAATAAACATATGGAATTCACTATCTATATATCTGTCTATCTATTTATCTATCTATTTATCTATCTATCTATCTATCTATCTATCTATCTATCTATCTATCTATCTATCTACAGGTATTTATCTACTTATATCTATTGATAAATCTATCTATTTATCTTCATATTTGCTTAGTTATCACAAACTCGGGTAGTATGGTGATACGCAACTGCGTAAGCTAGAGCCTCTATGATAATGGTGGCCGCTGCCTGTAGTTCATGACACAGATGTGAACAAAAGTATTATTCGTGTTCTCTTTGTTTTGTTTTGTTCTGTTTTGTTCTGTTTTTGTAAATTAATTCTAATGAGTGTCACAGGTTTCATTATTCAAACTGTAAATTACAGAGGAATTGTTACATGAATAATTTTCTTACTGCTGATCACCTCAGCAACAACACATGAGTATAATCTGTTTTACACCTCCCTCATAGCTACCACATTAGGGTGTGTCATAGGAGGGAAGATCAGCTAAAACTAATGGCCCATCACTTTTTTGGTAGATTTTAGTGTATATAAACAGAAAATAATTTCAGTTTCAATATTTTGCAACCTTTTGCTAGGTAAATTTTAGCGTGAAATTTATCGAAAATCTAACGTACAGCTGCATTAGTGCATTACAATTAAATAGTGAACATTGCTTTCTGACTTCATTCTTTAACAACCCAACTAACAATATTTTTTTCTGTTTCAGATTCTGATGCATTTATAAGTTGATAATATTTGCGATGGCTGCTTGTGTCAGGACGAGGAACCAAAAATCCAGCCATCTCAGTCACTATCTTGGGTCTGGGAGAGAGCTCCTGAAGTCGGAGTTGCCTACATTGAGAGATGCTTTGAGATACGGTGTTTTAATCAGGCAAATCAGTGAAACGAACCAAAGAACTTACACAAACAAAGACATTGCCAGTGATATGACCAAAGCTGTCTTGGCACAGTACACTCTGGCTAACGCTCAGTTCAAGCCTCCAGTCATAACAAGTCAGAAGAAGATTAGTGAGAGACTGCTAGCCAGTTGGGAAAAGGCAAGAGATATCTCTCTTGGGAGAGGAAAACTTGCAGTTAAGGACCGCTTTGCCAAGCAACTGGACCAGTTATTTGACATAATTACTTACAAGTGCCCAATTGTTCTCTGTCCTGAGTTTGGATGCGATCGTGACTGTAAATCCGAGGCCCACATCTCCTGTATTTGCAAGCGTGAACTGAAGATTCCTGTGATCGAACTGGCATTTGTCAAAGCACAGAGAGAGAAGACTGGCAGTATAGGGGCTCTCATGATTTCTAGCCAAGATATTCCGGAGTCCAAGAGACAGGAGGCTGCCACAGAGAGACAGAAGAGGAGAAGAGTTGCCGAGGAAAAGAGACTTGAGAAGGCCCAGGGTGAGGTAAAAAAGGCCGATGATTGGAGTCAAGCTGATTCAGAGTTTAATGACTTCCCCATGGCTGATCCGAGTGCTGACCAGGAGAATGGTGACTTTGTCCCTAACCCAGAAAATAATGATCCCAAACCTTCCAGGCATAAGATTCGAAATAGGAAAGATATCCCGAGCATAGCTCTGGCCAGCATGCGACACCACACTGGTCTCAGAGAAACTGCAGAGATAGCAACAGCTGCCTGGATTGACGGTGGTTTGATAACACCTGATGATGTTCACCTGGTGATAGATCATAACAAAGTAAGGAGAGCTCAGGAGAAACTTGTCAGTAACCTAGAAGAGGAGTTTGATAAGGGGATAAGAGAAAATGGAATCAATTGTTTGTTCTTTGATGGGAGAAGGGATGACACTAAAGTGTTCATGAAAGTTGGAGATTCTGACAAGTTGTTCCCTGCCATGGTGAAGGAGGAACACTACTCCTGCTGCAGTGAACCAGAGGGAAGCAAGTATTTGTGGCATTTCACTCCAGAGAAAGATGACATCAGGAAACCAGCTGAGATAGTGGCAGATAACATTGTGAACTGGCTCAGAGAGAGGAACGTAGACCAGACCCTGCAGGCCATTGGAAGGGACAGCACCAATACGAACACAGGGTGGCAAGGGGGGTCATACAGTGGATAGAGCGGAAGATTGGGAAGAAGCTGGTCTGGATTGTTTGTGACCTCCACACCAACGAGTTGCCACTCAGACATCTGATCCAGGAGCTGGATGGCAAGACTCTTTCAAACAACAGATGGTCTGGTCCTCTTGGCAAGATGCTGGACTCTGCCACTGAGTTAGAAATAAATCTGAGCTTTGAAAAAATCACAGTTGGCCCTCCACTCGTTGAGCTTGCACATACTGTCATTGACGACCTGAGTACTGACCAGTACTATGTGGTTACATGATTTTGCAGTGCCATCAAAACTGGGGTCATGCCTCTGATAGACTTGCTTACCTCCGCAGATAGGCCCCAGTCTCACATTCTAGGTGGCTCACAACAGCTCTCAGGTTCTGCAGAATTTGGGTCGCTCATCATAAACTGAAAGGGAACCAGCTTCACAACCTGAGACTTATTGTCCAATTCATCGTGAGTGTCTACTTGCCAAATTGGTTCAACACCAAGGTCAAATCATCGTTCTCCGAAGGTCCGAGGCATGTTCTCTTCCAGCTTGAGCTCCTGAGGAGTCAGCCAAGGAAGGTTGTTCAGATTGTGGAGCAGACTGTGAGGAGATCTTCCTGGTATGCTCATCCCGAGGCAGTTCTGCAGAAAATGCTCTGCAGTAAGGATGAGGAGGAGAGAAGAGTGGCAGTCAAAAAGATCTTGGATATGAGACTTATGAGAGGATCTGGGCATGACGAATCAGTTGAGGCGAGCGATTCCTTCCAGGGTCAGGAAGACTCCTGAAGTCCAATCTGGAATTGCCAAGACCCTCACTGATCTCATAGATCTGGATAACATCAGGCTGGCAGTGAGCCCCTCTTACCTGCAGCCTCACCAATGTTCAAGTCAGAGCTTTCCTGGACAACCCCATGCATGTCCTGCAGCCCTCCACACCCAGAGTATAGGCGTTGTGGCACAGCAAGTGAAAGCCGAGGCCAGCAGTCACGTGTACAGCCAGGAGAGGAGGGAAGGCTACATCCGAGCTCAGGTGGTCAGCAGGGAGGTGATGAGTAGAAACAGAAGCAAGAAAGACATGTTCTCTATGGTGTGCAACAACACCGGGTCGTAGTAGTAAAACCTTTTTTTGTATTTGATGATTTTGTTTTCTAAAGGAATATTAAATTTAATAAATGTGTCAAGATCATTCGTTTCACTATTCTGGATCATTTTCATCCTAATAAATTAACCTGATACATTTACTTTACTTTAAATAAGCTATTTAGTGGTCTTGGTAAAAGGGTGGGAATACTGAATTTTCATAAGATTTCAAGTTAAAATTTACCGAGCAAAAAATAAAAACTTTTCAAATCTGAAGATATCACATGATTCTGCACATAGAACTACATCATTAATACCATGGGCCGATTTTTCAAACTCAAAAAAAAATAATTCGCCTCCGCATGACACACCCTACTACCACATGGTTCCTGCCCTCCTTCCTACACGGTCATGTTCGTCTCCTTCTATCCTCCTTCAGGCTCTGAGTGGCTGCCCAAGAATGACGGAGGGCGCCTCATAGTGACCACGTGGCTCCTGGCTTCCCTAGTGTTCATGACTTCCTATGGTGGCATCCTCACGGCCATGTTAACTGTGCCTCGAGTTACCATCCCCATAAACTCCCTGGCAGACCTGGTGTCCCAGACTGACCTGCCCTGGCGCCTGGAGGCTGGTTCTATGATGTTTCAATACTTCAAGGTAAAGCCTGATATGATGCCATTGTTACAAAATGTGTTAGTTTCCTCCAGTATTCTAGTTTTCCTTCCTTTTTTCTATTTCTTGAGATGCAAAATTCAACATTAAACCATAATTCGGGTCATAGTGCAATTAAATTGGCCCGTGCATCAGAAAGAAGACATAAACAAATAAGAAACTAGTGCTTAGATAACGCAACAAGTCCTTCATTGACTGTCAACTGCTGCAGAAGTCAAGTAAGAATCTGCATTATAAGTTGATAATGAAAACTCGGACAAGAGGCTAAGATTATTATATTAGAATGATAATGGTGAAAAACATCCTGATACAACATACTCGCAATAATAATTAGAAAAGTATATTCATTGGCAATGATGGTAATTATTGATGACACGCCCGTCGCCGAAATTTCCGAGAAAATTAATTTAAAAATACTGCAATTTAACTGTATTTTGCAGTGGACATTGTCATAGTTTAGGCTAATGTGCTGAAATGGGGTTATTTCTAAATTAAATCGAACCTAACCTTAGTCTATAATAAACACAAGCAACTGAAGTGTTGTTTGCAGACCGCACCATTCTAACCAAAGCAACCCACCTAACCCCCCGGCATATTAAACAGAAAGAACTTACTTTGATATGGTGTGATTTTACATTTTTACTGGACGTGGGAGTATGCTTGGACAGAGTGGCTAGGTTGTTGCACTGAAACAAGCAAAAAAAAGAAGACAACATCGAGCGTGCCATTTCAATTCCAAAAAAGATGAATTAGTGCAAGCCAAAGAGGCCTAATTATCTCCCAAATGAAGCATTTGCCCAGGAAATGAATATCATATACGAACTCAGCAATGAAAATGTAGTAAGAAATGATCCATCAAAACAAATTATGAGGTGACAGGTGTGTCATTTATATTAGGATAGTCGAGATGCTTTCATAACGTCTTTGAATCATCCAAAATCAGATCATGATAAAGCTTGTTATTAACATATAATATATATAACAAAAATACATTATAATAATATTGTATTATTTTAAATAGTCTATATATTTTATGAGGAAATTATAAGAAAATATATAGCCACATAGTCATGTTATGAGAATATTTAAGGAAATTTCAGAGACTCGGAGTTTTAACAATAATCTCTCGGCTCTTCGGTCAGGAGTCTCAGGACGAGGTGAGGCAGAAGGTGTTCACGGAGGTGGCCGGGACTTTTCCTGATTGCTGGGCGGCGAGGAAGGCTATCGCTAACGGGGAGTTCGCTGCCATCTGTGACCGAACCACCATGAAGAAGGCCATGTCTTGGGATTTCAGGTATGTTTCGGACTCGGATAACTTATTAATGTCTAAACGAGAGAGAGTTCAAGGTTCAGGGGTCACAGTTCTGCAACAAGAGAGTGGAAACGAAATGTGAAATCTTAGCTTTATTAACTTTGCCAAGACTAGACAACATCTTTACTCAAACCTTCAGGTGCGCTTGATCATGGGAGTTTATATACTGTATAGATGTACGTAACACCAACTTCCCTATAGGTACAATTATTCCGTGTGTGTGTTTGGTATTTTAGTTTTAATTTAGTCTATTTCGTAGAAGCCAGAAAAGTTAATACTGTGATATTATTTTGATTACGTTGGCGAGATAACAGGGATGAGAAACAACAAGAAGGATAAGAAAGCATAATAATCACAGTGTGTATTAATTTCCTTATGTAAGATTTAATAACCAGATATCATCTAAAATGACATCTAAGTGTTCTTTCTACTAAAGTTATATTTCTCCTCCTCAGCACCAGCGGACAGTGTCATTTGTATATATCAAGTGAAAACGTGTACAGTAATGCTATCATCTCTATGGCTTTCAAGAACAACTCGACCTACCTCAGTGATGCGAATCGTATGTAAGTTTTAGGTGGATGAGTTTCGTGTTAAGTCCAATGGTCCAGAAACCGTGATGAAAGAAAAAGAAATCTCTATGCTTATTGTACCAATGTGTTCATAGCATTGAATACTTTGTGTCTATAATATAAGATACATCTCTCTCTCTCTCTCTCTCTCTCTCTCTCACTAACCCTTCATTTCTCTTTATATCTCTTTCTAACTCCCCCCACCCCCCTCCACCAACTGCCTTTCCCTCTCTCACTTCACATGTATCTGTATATCAATATACGGTATTCTAAACTAATGATTCGTTTCTTCATCTGGCAGCATCCGCACCGTGAAAGAGTCTGGCATCCTAGATAAGTGGCTGGCGGCAGAGATCACCAACACCACTCAGTGTCTTCGTCCGCCCACCTCTGACCGCGGGAATGCTGTCGCTGCCCTCAACGTGGACGTCATGGCAGGACCCTTCCTGGTCCTGGTGGGAGGTAAATTGAGCAGCGGTCAATGGTCATGATGGCTGCCTCCTTATGGAAGTGATACTAAAAGTGATGATCATAAGATTTTTTTTTAATTATTAATTTCTTCTCTGGTCTGGTTTCTAGGTCTGACTGTTGGTCTATTGGTCTTCTTGAGTGAACTAACTGCCTGGTCCCTATGCGGTCTTGACAAGTAGATCTCTCAGAATGTCTAGGTGGGTCCTCTCTCTCTCTCTCTCTCTCTCTCTCTCTCTCTCTCTCTCTCTCTCTCTCTTTTTTTTCCTCTCTCTTAACTGTTATTTATTTGTTTATTAATTTAATTCTCTTTCGCTCTTATCTCACTCTGAATACATTGGGATACAGGGGAATGAGGGATATAGGGATATACAGGAGACAATGCAGGGCTTATAGGAGAATACAAGGGTATACAATGGATACAGGCAGATATAAGATACAAAGGAATAGGGAGTTACAGAGGATAGAGGGTAATACAGGGAGATACAGGGGATACAGGTGGATACAGAGAAACACAGGGTGATAGTAAGGGTTACAGGTTAATGCAGGAAGAAACAGGAAAATACTCGGGGATACAGGAGACACAAGCGATGCAGAGGATACAGGGGATAAGGAAATACAGGGGTATATTGACAGTGTGACGACTCTGTCCCCTCCTCACTCTACCACCAGGAGAAGAAACTGCTTCACGAAGCTACTCGACCCCAGTGAGCACCGATTCAAAACCAGTTTCCCATCCGACTATGAGACCAGTTTCCCAACCGACTGAGACCGAGGTATCGAGGCAAGTGTGTTTCCCTTTTAAACTCATTTCTCTTCTCTGCGGTCTACAGTGTTCCTCTTCTCCCCGGGGTGTGGACGAAGAATTTGTATTACGGACTACCGCTGGTGGTGTTGTGATCTTTTGATGGTAGTGGACTAACGCGGAAATCCCTGGTTCCTTGTTGTTGGCCATCACAACCTTTTCTTGCTACCTGAGCTGCCATTTCTATCAGGTTTTTGTGTTGTTGTATATAGTATGTGTATTTAATGTTGAAATTAAGAATAATCTGGTAATATTTGGGTGTGTTTTAATAACTGTATAGTTGTGTTTGACTTGTATTTTGTAATGTACAGTCTCGTTCAAGATTCTTCGAACACTGCTGGAGACAGCTGGCAACTCAAAGCCGTTTGTTTACTATACTCCGGAGTAAAAATTATGAATAAATGTAAAAGTACTGTGATTGGTTACTTAATTCCCCGTTGCTTAGTTAATGGTTGGGCTTTGTTGTTTCGTATTATATTATTCTTTTTTGCTGGTATATACTGTAAATTTGATTTTAAAATGGATTGAGCAATGGGCCAACCTATATGAATTCATGTTTAGACAATTAAACATAAGTAAAAATCGGTAAGTGTGTTAAAGAACATAATGCATCTGGCATAGCTGTGTGCAGGTTGTCTATGAGGTTGCTTGTTTATCATTAATTTATACTAATATTATCTTCAAACGTTTAATCCATTTCGGGTAATTACTCCAGTCATACGTAACCGATACTAAACAGACTTCTTTCTAAAGACGCTGATTTCAGGCAACACACACACTGCTGTTTTAATTCTCTGTGAGATTAACCAGAATCATAGGTTCACTACTACCAGTAGTAAGCCTATGTGTGTGTGTGTGTGTGTGTGTGTGTGTGTGTGTGAGAGTCTGTGCACGTGTGTGCCTTAAGGCCCATCCACACGATCGAGCAGTGCTCAGAGGGCACGCGCTAAATGCCCGTTATCCTGCAAAATTGGCGGGCAAACCAGAGGAGTGCCCGTTCCCGTCATTGAGGGAAATCATGGTCAGCCTGCCTGGTGATTTGCTGCCAGATATGGAGCGACGACTTTAAGTACTGCAAATGTGATAGGCATATGTTCCCCGCTCGGTCCAGATGTCCAGTGTATAACCAAATAAGCTTATGCAATGTACATTATTGGCGTGACAATAAACAGGAGATTGTTTATGTATTATGCAATGAGGACATTCGTGTGTGTTTTTCGTTCCTGCTGCTCTCCTCACTCTAGTCCCATAGCTTCCTGTCTATGCATATCATAATTCTAACATTATTCAATGAATTTTTGTGTACTACAAATCTCACCTGCAAGTAATCTTGCTTGAGTACTTCATACATAGCTTGACAAGTTGCAGGTATTATGCGAGACAAACTTTGTTTTGATAACCTCGTTCTATACTGAAGTGACGTGTAGGTGCACCCAGTTGAAAGATATATGAGTGTTGCCTCTAGACGAGCCTCTGTAGATATACTCTCCCTCGTATTGGTATCCTGATTTTTTATATGTGGTTCCACTTTCGCTAGAAGTTTGTAAAAGGTGTTGGGGTCCATTCTCATGTAATTGGTGAAGTCTTGCTCATGTTCATCTTGCAGTTCACGTAAAACCGTGGCATGACTTACCAATACTTTTCTTCGACCTAACCACTCTTTGCACCATTCCCTTTTCTGCATTTGGTTCTTCTTTTTGCACATAGCAGCAATTATTATAGTACACAACGCTATGCTCTTCGCTTTAACTGTCCAGCGATTATTCCAGCGACACACCATGGTGATCGTACCGCACCCGCCACTGCCGACCACCTACTAGCTACCGGCGCCCGACTATGACTGCCGGTAACCACCCCCGTGTGTACAACAACACACAGGCTTTGCCCGTTTACCGGGCAAAGCCAGCCGGGCACTGCTCGATCGTGTGGACTGGGCTTTAGCCTGTGTTTGTCAATGCTTTCTGTAAAAACAGTTGTATAAATGAAACGGTATTATTAAGTTTGTTTAATGAAATTATTTATTTTACATTCCCTGTGAGGCATTGGAAATAGAAATATTTATATTTGTTTTAATTATGTCATGAAATGGTTTCTACACAGTTTTTACGAAATGAAAGACTTTCCAATGCGAGCCTGTGGTGAACCAGTTTAAAACTTTTTTTTGCGGGCAAGCAATCAATAATCGAAAAAAATTAAATTTGAAATATATAATAAGCTAAGTCTACTCAGATGACAATCGTAATGACAGTTGAAAGGTCTACAGGGATACAATACATATGCTAACGCATTAGCTACACCATCAGTACGAGATTTCACTAATTAATCTAATATTTTATTTTTTTTATAATTAATAAAAACGGCAAGGGATCCCGTTGAAATCTACTTACTTCACGAGCGCGTGCGTATATGTATGTGTCTAAGCAAGTGTGCGTGAGTGTTCCAACATTATTGTAAATTATGAAATAATTGTGAGTTAACGTTGTAACATAATTTGATATTTTGGCGAGGATTTCTTCCCATTTCTTATAAATAAATGGAGATAAAAATATTTAGAAATGCAATTATTACAGTAAACGTTTTCCAAGAATACATAAATATATTGCGAACGGCATGACATGAACTTATTAAATATGAGATTATGAGATTGAAATATAAAATATCAATTTCGTCGTCACAGGTGCCTTCAAGAGCCGGATCGGACAGCTGTAATCGAGCCATTACCCCCTGTACATATTGTAGGAATTGTGTCGTTATACAGTTGTTTCTTTGTCTCCGTCTCCCTCTCTAATTTTTGTCCGTGGTATATATGGTAATTATTCCACATGTAACATAATTATCATATATGATACTGTACTCTTTCATAATTAGTATAAGTATAATTTTATGATTTGTTTGACATAAATCATCCTGAATACATACTGCATAAGTGAGGTTATTAGAAGAGGATTGTTTTCTTTATATTTATTATACAATTTGACATATATTCATGAAAATATTATGGATAGGACATCTATCTTACGGGAAAGCACATGCACACACCGAGGGAAGCATAATTTCTTCGAGTGTTTCTAATTACTGTTCAGCTGTGAATCTTCCCTCTATGTCAGTCAGCTCTTCAAATCCGTGCAAATATATCCATCCCCAAACATTGCAAGTCACATGGCCACTCCTTGCTTCCTCATAAATATGCTGTCTAGCATATCGGGTGTTGTTCCTCCTCCAGCAATGCAACCCTTCCGTGAGAGGTAGATGAGAAAGTTTTTCATCGGTGAATATTACTCATCCCCAGAAATCTAGGCCTTCTTCAGCATACCGTCGAGCAAACTGCAACCTGCCCACGCGATGTAGCTCATTTAACTTCTCCTTGGTGGCGGGAGTTCTATGGTGAATGCCTCCTTCAAGAAGTCTTCGCCCGATTGTTATAAGGGAAATATTTAATTGTAGATCCTCTCTTATTGAAAATGAAGTAAGTCTTGAAGACGTTGGCCTCAGCGAAATCCCGGATGGCTTCAACTTATGCAGGTGTTATTCTGTCCTGTGGTGGTCCTTTAAACTTCCCTCCTCTTCCCATCGCTTAATCCAATAATATAAAGTTGACCGAGAAACCCCCAATTCTCGGGCAATTTCAGTGGGTGAAAACCCAGCCTGCTTCATGACGATTATTCTTCTACGTTAAGTGATTTTATGAGTGTAGTATTCCGTATTGGCAGGGGCCTTCTACAAACAAGGGAGTGGAATGGTAGTCAGCACTGACGACACCTCTGTCTCCCTCACCTTCCCGCCAATAACGTCAGCGTTATATTTATACTTTATTAGGCTTTTATAAAAAAAAATAACAACGAATAAAAAAAAAATAAATAAACAATTTATAATAAGTCATACATATTTTTGAAAGTATAAAATAAAAATAAAAATAAAAAACACCGGACTAAAGGTGACGTAATCTACAGAATTCAAATTCAAATTCAAAACATTTATTGACAATTACATCAAAAGGAAACTGGTTAGCATCTAACTAGCCCGCCCAAAACTAGTCTTAACAAGAGCTCTTTAACATTCTACTAATCATAAATCAGATATGTAAACAACAAATAGATATGCATAAAATCTACAATCTTATGCTAAACTTACAGAATGTTTTCATAACATTCTTAACCATAATTTTTGTTTATTAAATAACAAACCATCTCTGTAATATCAGTAATATCATCACCCTAAATTCTGATAAACAATTACATTCCATAATGTAATGATATGATGTATAGACTACATTTTACACAGTTTACAAGGAATGCCATCAGTTCCTTCAATATATTGCCAATAATACTTGTATCCAAAAGCAATAGCCTCATCACAAATGTATCATAACCGAAGCCTTACCTAAGTAAAACTTGC